GTGTGTGTGTGTGTGTGTGTGTGTGTGTGTGTGTGTTGGCAAGTACATGAACACATATGTTCTTTCATGATTTGCCTTTACTAGTTTGAAATTGTTTATATCCTCTTTTTACATGGGTGTAGTTAGTGTTATTGGGATGAAAATGTCTTTCTAGTATTTCTGTAGGGCTGGATGTAGAGACAGATATTGTTAAAATTTCACTTTATCTTGGAATATGTTGCTTTTCCCATGTATGGTGATTGAAAGCTTTGCTGGATGGTAGGTCAAGAAGGGAAGCAGTATATTGAGTGTTGGGAAACTGAACCTATTGAGTTGGAGAGTTACGCATGCTGGAGGGCAGCCTCTCTGTTCTTATTACTGATGGTGGCCTTCACCTGTTCTTAAGACCATTCTGGCATGTCCATGAGCAGCAGATTCTGACCAGGTTTTGTTGGTGGTTTCTTATACTTCTGTAATTAAAAACACTCTAGAATTATTCATCATGGGGTTTATAGGTCTCCTAATTTTGTGTTTTCTTCTTGAGTCTCACCATTGTTCTCTGTAATGTTTTACATCTCTGATTTTAATTGTTATGCTCTTACACTTGGGTGCCTGTAAACTAATAATATGAACTCCTCAACCATGTAGTCCAAATGAGTCCAAATCCACCGGAAATACAAATAAACAAGTTGCTTTGCTATACTAGACTCCCAATATTTCACATAAAATGAGACGTGAAATGATGGAGGAACTATATATTAGCCTCTAGCTTATCACACTAGTGTAGAAAAATGAGCCTCTATAACCTCTGTGAATAAAAATGTTTACAAAGTACTTAAGTACTTAAGGGGCAAAGTAGTTCAAAAGACTCATTCCTCATCATTGTTAGAGATCTTCTCAATTCTGTGGTCCTGGGGGCTATCTTTCCATCATTCATGAGTTTTGGAATATTCATGATATACTTATAATCTGAATATTGTTACATTTCTAGAGTTGGAGAATCAAGAGCTGCCATTTTCTACTTCCTTGGAGGCATCAATATTGATCTATCATCTCAATCTCATTGATCTTTCCTGTTATACTTCTGGTGTAATTTCTTTTTAAATTATAATATTTTCATGATTAAATTTACTTCATGATTCCAAACTCAAAATTCTCAGCTAGAATATCTTAACATGAAAGACATATCATATATATATATATAATGTTGGATAACACTTACAATCTTTGTGTTAGGGTTTCTATTGCTATTTGAAGAGACACCATGACCATGGAAATTCTAATAAAGGGAGATATCTGATTGGGGCAGATGTACAGTTTAGAGTTTTAGTCCACTAAAATCATGGTAGAAAACCTAGAAGTGTAGGCAGTCATGATGATGATGCTCGAGAAGGAGCAGAGATATTTTTCATTTTGATCGACTGTCAGCAGACTGAGACTGTGTTTCACACTGTTAATAGCTTGAGCATAAGAGACTTCACAGTGTGCCTCCACAGTGACATACTTCCTCCACCAAGGCCACACCTACTCCAATGAGGACATACCTACTATTACTGACATCCCCTATGTGCTGTACATTGAAAAATGCATCAATGGAAAACATAACTATTCAAAAAACCACAGTTTTCACACTCATCACTTCAAAATGACCCTATGTGTACAACACTTACAAATCTACTCACCTCATGAAAGAAATCCATGGCAGACCAAAGAGTGATTGTACCAAAGCATAACCATGAGAATCCATGGGTTTACTCTGTTACTGATAGCAGTGTGGACTCAACCCTTACTTAAAGCACACCCCAATATGGGTGATTATCATGAAGCCAAAACCCTGGAGCTCAGTGCACAACTTACGGGCAGCCCAATACGGCATAGATATTAGCACTAAGAGTCTGGGTGGACCAGTGTCTCACTCTTTCTATAGAGCTGGGAAGGGCCACTGATGACTCTTGAATGTTTCACCTTTCCATGACAGAGAAAGTTTGTTTACTTTCTGAATCTCCTGAACATCTCAGCACTTACATTGAAGAAGGGATGTATCAGTTCAGAGAAAAGTGTTATACAAAGGACCCCAAAGAGGAGAAAATTGGAGACTCGCCTCTCAGGGATGAAGGAGCATCATTAAATATTTTCTCTGTGTATCCCTCTGCAGGAAGTCATGACAAGCCTCCACTCTCTGCCTGCCCAAGCTATATTGTTCCTTTGGGACAGCGTGTGGAACTTCGATGTGACTCTCATAGTTTCTATTACACATTCAAGTTGTACAAAGAGCTTGGTAATCCTATCCCTCACATCCAGGGAAGACTATTCCAGAGGAAATTTGTCTTTGAACCTGTGACAACAGAATATGCAGGGACATACAGATGCTATGGATTTAATGATCATTACCCTTTTAAAATTTCAGCCAACAGTGACCCTGTGAAGATCATAATTTCAGGTTAGAGATGATGTTTTGAGTGCCTTTCATTCCCCCAAATCTCCCAACCCTGGAATTTTCAGAAACAGTGTTAGTAAGAGGTTTGGACTTATAAAGGAGTATTCAACACAGAGAAATATGTAATGTTCTGGGCATAATAAAATATACAACATCACACATTTTTCTAGTCCCTAAGGCTTCCCTTGTGTTAAATAAGTCAAGGAAAATTGGGCTGGAACTCAGATCTTAACCAGTTGATATCAGGATGCAAGAATATCCTGAATTATTTCAGGTCTGTAGAACTACAAGGATTGATGTAACAAAAAAGGAAAAATTCAGTTGTGGGCCAAAGAAATCATCATGAAGGAGACACCCTGTCACTAACTCTAAACATGGATGAAGGGTCCAAGTGCCAAGGAATGCATGGGGCTCTAGAAGCTGGAAGGTAAAAAAAATGGACACTTCTAGGGATTTCAGTAGTTACTGTCCCTGAAGAAACCTGATTTATGCCATTGGGCTTTTCAGAATTCTGATCTCCACAATACTGTATTCTTTTTAAGAATCAAATTTGTTGTAATTTGTTATGTTAGCAACTAGAAAATAATATAGGAACTCAAGTAAAAAGCAAATTAAGTCACAAAAAAGGCATGCTTTGAGATCAGTAAAACCAGGATGCTAATTCATCAATGTGTTGGAGGAAACAATGTTCATGATCCTGGATCAGAAATGCCTTATAGAGGTTTGAACCACAGTGAGTGCTAGAAGTCTTTCCCTCATAACTATGTTTAATACTAATTCCTTTATCCTACCAAGAATTATACTTAATCAGAAGTTGCATAAAGAAGACACATAAAGCAGCCTGGTGTGAAGCTTGCCATGTTTCCTGCACTTTCCAGGCTTAGAAAAAGACAATAGGGCCTATGGAAGTAGTACTCAAAAGACACATTCTCATTACAAGCCAGTGGGAAGATATTGTGCTAATCCCAGAGTCAATTAAGTGGGAAATGGACACAAAGATGGAGGAGGCTATGTCTAGAGTGGAAGCAGACAAAAACAAGTTCACTGGAGTATTGACAGGGAGAACAGACCAATTGAGGGGGAACCACATGTCTTCAAAGACAGAGATTTTGATCCGGTTCATACAATTTTTTTTATTCTTAGAAATCTACAGGAAGCCTTTCCTCGTGGCCTTACAACCTCCCCTGGTGAATTTAGGAGAGAAGGTGACACTGGAGTGTCGATCAGAGATTGTGTTTGACACCTTCATTTTGACTTCACATAAAAATGGAACAATCAAAGACTCTCTCGAACTTACTGCAGAACATCATCATGGGGGTTCCCAAGCCAACTTCTCAATAGGTCCTGTGACACCTGATGATGCTGGGACATACAGATGTTATGGTACCTTCAATCACTCTCCATATGAGTGGTCTGAATCCAGTGACCCCATTGACATAAAGATCACAGGTAAGAGCATGTTACCTGCTCATCATTCTCTTTGTGATACAGAAAAATATTCTATACACAAAAACTGTGCAAGGTCACCAGAAAAAGAGTGTAAATAATTTACATAAAGGCAATCTTGTTAATTGTTTTACTGGCATAGACAATGAAAAGAAATACAGAAGAACAGACCCTTGGTTATAACATAAAGCACAGGTACAGGGAAGTGCAAAGTAGATATAAACAAAAAATGACAATTAGGTGAGCATAATATGAACCAGAGAGAATGAAGACTCTCTACTGACATTCAGAAAATTACTGAATTCTACCTCTATAAGAATTCTACCAAAAGAGCAAGACAGATCATGTGTCTGACCTTAATTGGGCTGGTACTTAGTGAGTCTTTAAGCCTTCACACAGGTGGAACCCAGGAAGGGCTGAAAATTAGTAAACATAGAATGTGTGCTAAGAGAAAATCTACAGCCGGGCGGTGGTGGTGCACGCCTTTAATCCCAGCACTCGGGAGGCAGAGGCAGGTGGATCTCTGTGAGTTCGAGGCCAGCCTGGGTTACCAAGTGAGTTCCAGGAAAGGCGCAAAGCTACACAGAGAAACCCTGTCTCGAAAAACAAAAAAAAAAAAAAAAAAGAGAAAATCTACAAAAAAAGACAGAAGCCTACATGGAAACTTTGATAGTAGAGATGGAAAAATTATAGCAGCTATTAAATATTTCAAGAAAGAGCTTGTCAGACACATGATATGTCTGGCTCTCTTGGTAGAAGACTTACAAAGGCAGAAGTGAAAAACAAATTCTGAACTAAGTGCTTAGGAAGCAGATGATAGATCACACTTGAGTAGTACACACACTAAGTGGAACAAGGGAGGAAAGATCACCATGGTCAATGTTCAAGAGAAATATAGAATTTGATGAAGTATTATGTATTTTGAAAAGAGAGATTAATTAACAGATATGTAAACGGATACAAGAATGAAAAATAGAATGACATTGGATTATAGATTTTTATTATACATAGGATGGCAAAGTTATAGGTCATGAAATTAGCAAGTGACCAAAAAAGAAAAATTTAATAAAGAGGGATAAGAAATAAATGAAAGACATATGACATGGAGGAGGAAATGAGGGGAATAAAGATATCAGCAATGCTGTACAAGGGAGGAAAGAAGGAAGAAAATGAACAAAAGGAGATGTATGAGGATAATATAATGAAGACTGTTACTTGGTATGTTAATTAAAACAAAATTAGGAGTAACTCTAATTGAACTCATTTACTTGTAAAACAACTGGAAAAAAGTGAAAGTATAGAGAAGACCAATTAGAAAAATGAGTGTGTTTTGTGGAAGTTGAGGGGCAAGAAAGAATAATAACATTAATATTTTTAATAGTATCCATCTATAAATATATGTAACAACAATTTTTAAAAACATTAAATGATAGAAATACATTAAATGATATAGTTCAATTTCAAAAATTAAGATATATTTTCAAAACAAGCATAAAAATATATTATGCATATGAATATTTCATTATGAAGGTTATTGCTAGATAAAATTAATTATGCTCATAAAAACAAACTTTAAAAGACCGATGGAAGGAACCAATGCCAATAGAGGCAGAAAATGTAAATGAGCAAAAATTGGCATAAAATATTTGAGTACCAGTGAGGTCATAGACTAAAGATGGTAACATAAAAATAGAGATAATGAGAGAAAGAGGGGAGAGGAGAAAGGGAGTCATAGAGAAGAGGAGAGGTAAGAGACAGAGAGAGATCAAAGAAATAGAAGCAGGCAGAGGGAACACTGAGGAATGAATGAACACTGGTAACTAACTGTCTCTGCCTCTTTTCTCTCAGGTTTATACAAGAAACCTTCTCTGTCAGCCCTGATGGAACCTGTGGTGATGTCAGGAGAAAACATGACCTTGACCTGTTTCTCTGACCTTCAGTTTGACATGTTCCATCTGTCCATGGAAGGGGTACCCAAGGACCATGGGCTACCTTCAGTGAAGAGCCACAATGGAACATTCCAGGACAGCTTCCATCTTGGTTCTGTGGTCCAGGCAGGGAACTATAGATGCTATGGCTCTTTCAGGAACTCTTCCCATCTGTGGTCAACCCCAAGTGACCCCTTGTACATTCTTGTCACAGGTAAGAAAACTTCATATATACCTCATATCTTGTGACTGATGAAATACTGAAGCCATGTCTCAGAATCCTCCAATCGATGATAGAGAGAAAGTAGCATTGGGAGCTACAGAGAAGGACTGCTGTGAGTCCTAATGTCACGAGTGTGGAATTAAACATATGTGTGTGTGTGTGTGTGTGTGTGTGTGTGTGTGTTATATTTATATATGTGTGTATACATATTTGATGTGTATATATGTACATGTATGTATATATGTATGTGTATATATGACATGTGTACATATATGTGTGAATATGCATAGCTTTAGCCATATATGTAACAATAATTTTCAATGAAAAAGAGGCTATCAATTTTAGAGTGGTGTAGGGATATGAGAAAACTTGGCGGAAGGGTTGCTGGGAGGGACTGGAGAGAGGAAAGGGAGGGGAAGGGAAAAATTTATATTTCAACTGAAAACCTTTTGTAAAAAAACATGGAATTTGGGACTTGAAAACAGAATACAAAGTAGCAGACAGGGAGTCTCCCCAAAACTCCTTATATGACTTTGAATCCACACTGGGATATCTATATAGAGAAGCAGATATTTAAATGGATCTGGCCATTAGGGATGACTCATTAGGGATGAGGTTCATATCAGTTTGGGCAGAGCAGAGATGGAGCAGCCCTCCTGAACTCTTGCTCACATACATCTTCCCACAGCATTCCTATGAATCATCAAATATTGAAATCAGATTGAGAGAGCCAACACCTAGAAGCAAACCACTAAATATCACCCTATAACTCTACAGGCTCAGGACTAAGAGGTGGAGTGGGTGGTGGTCACTGTCCAAATTTAAAAAACTTTCCTTAATTGGGGAGAAGACAGCCTCTGATGAACTTTCTCCCTCTTCTGTCCCCTTCTCTAGTTAACTCAACAAGAAAATGCACTTCTTGCACAGAAGCATACTTCACAACCAGTGAGTAATTGATTCCTCTTCTCTATTGTGAAAACTTAGAGACCCAAAGCTCTTTGGATTATTTTGTCTCAGCTCCTTCCTTACTCTGTGTTATCATCATCATCTCCCCTCTCTGATTCTTGAACTCTTCAACATTAGAAGTTGTTTAGGAGCAGTTTGGGAAATTTAATGACTATACATCTCTAATTTCTGTACCTGAGACCTTGGTGAGAGAAAAGAAGAGTAAATTTTACTCCCTTCCCAGGATCAATGAAGTGCTCATTCTAAATCTGTTCCTCCTGGAGAGGAGGTGATGGGGCCTGAAGTAGGAAACAAGTGAGCAAAAGGGAAGATTTTATATAAAAATAATATTTCTGACAGATTAGACTTGACTTCACTTTTTCCATACAAGAGAATGAAATGTTTAGTTCAAGGTATTACAGAAGCAAAGCAGATCTAATGAGCACTGATCTCAATCTCAGATTTAGCTATTGAACACATGATTTGAACCTAGGGTCCTGCGGTTGTCTGCCACTTGCATGACACCAATATATTCCTGGATATGTGGACCTCTGCTGGAGCATAGTCAATTTACTAGTAGAAATTTACTACTACAATTTACTAGTACAGTTTCTCCTGAAACTGACACTCATACTCCCAACAGTCACCAATAGCCCATAGCCCCTTGGCTAGGGATGGGACCTCATGTCCACCTCCACTCTCCATGATGACATTTGGTCATGCTTGAACTTGCACTATTCTTGGGCCTGCTATCTCAACCTCCTGTGAAGTTCATTTTTCACCTGCCCTCAGTGTACAGAAGACAGCTTTCTATATTTAACCACAGCCTCTTTGCAATCTCTTCTTCCAGATCTTTCACAATGATGCTAAACATTTGGAGACCGATTTGAGATTTAAACATCTCATTTAGTGACATAATTCTATAGTCTCTTTATTTCCACAGCTTCCCCAGTTGTGGGTATCTTTATTAATCACCTTCTATCACAAATATAGATTCTTCTGTTGAGAGTTAAGAAATATAATCATATCTGGATATAATAATAATTCATTCGAAGTCCATTTGATACTGTTTCCATTGAGTAGGATATTACTACTGGGTTCTCCATCAAGACTCTTGTCATAAAGCAATATTTTATCAGTTATCTATTAATCAATAAATACTATGCAATCTGTCAAAATGAGGATACTGAGATATACCTCTTATTGGGTTCACATCTTTCTCCAGATAACCGCAGGAACCTGAATATGCTGATTGGACAGTCAGTGACCATGATCCTTGTCTTCCTTATCATCCTCATTTATTCTTGTTGCTCTTCCAAAAAGAGTAAGTCTCAGGAACAAGCCAGTGAAAGTCATCTGAGTAGTGTGAGAAAACAAGACCAGAGAAGTAGAGGTATGTTTTCTAAATTTATAAGAAAATACTTTGACCAAGACAGGGAAACTAAGACAGAGCTTTCTAGAGAAAATCCTAGAAAAATCAGCCCCTGCTCTTCTCCACGGTTTTCAGACCCTCAAAGCATCTTCTGCATCTTTGCATCCAAAGCATACACTAATATCAAGGAGAAGGTTTAACAACAGTGAGTGTGTGTGTGAGAGAGAGAGAAAGAGAGAGAGAGAGAGAGAGAGAGAGAGAGAGAGAGAGAGAGAGAGAGAGAGATTGGGAGAGAGAAATTGGGAGGCAGGGAGAGAAGGAGGAATGAAAAGATGGAGGGAGGGAGGGAGGGAGGGAGAGAGGGAGAGAGGGAGGGAGGGAGGAGGGCAGAGAGTATATGCTGAAGAAAGAATTTCTAGGGTACAGCATTGTAGAAAATCTAATTATAATTTGCAGTGGGTGAGCAACCTTGGGTTTCACCATATCTCTCACTAGTACCTTGCATTTGAAATGAGAGTGCAGAAGGACTTTATTACATGGGTTTGATTAATTCTGTCTTCTAAAATGCAGCCATCATGGGTCAAGACTCTAAATTAGAGCAACACTGAACAGACAGGTAGGTCCTCGTGAGTCTTCTCTCTTCCATACAATCTAATATACCTTTATTCTCTGCAAGATTATGTGTACACAATATCAGTTAACGTTTACCTCTTTCTAGAATCCTGAAAGAGAAGAAGTGCAGGAGGTGACATACTTAAAATTTGATCAGATGATCTTCAAACAAAAATTGACCACTCCCAATTCCCAGATTCCCAAGGAATTTTCCACAGATCCAAGTTTATACATGGATATCAGGAAATGTTAAGCTGAGATGAAAGATGTTCATCCCATGAGTTCTCAAAGAAAGTTCTGAGGAAGACCACAGTCCTTTCTCCAGTAAAGACCGATAGATGCAGTGAAACAAGAGCTGGAATGTGAAGACAGAGGTCTCTAACTTAGGGACCATGCTTCATTATTGTAATATGGTTCTGAAAGTGGCTTTCCTTTACTTACAAAGGCTATGGTCCTTGCAAACTACTCAACAGAAATCAAACTCTTTTGCTTAGTTCATGTGTCTCTATTTAATTTCACTCTGGCAGACCTCTATAACCTGACTGGCTCTAAGTTCTTGATGTACTTGAAGCTGTAACCATGTTGAGTATCTCACAATTGCAGATCAACAAGAGGCTCACCTCTTTATTAGTGTATGTTACTAATGTGTAATCATGTTATACAACATAATGGGTTTCAAAACAATTTCATATATATCATATTCACACTCAGTAACCCAATCTTGTCTTTCTAACTCTGCTGTTAGAGTTATCACTCTGAAAGCCTATGCTTAACATTGGGTTTTACCATTTGCTGTACTGTGCACCCCAAATGCTGTTTGTCATGTCTTCTCTCACCAGAACCATCCTCATATTTCTTTAATAGTTCAATGTGTACATCCCCACTATTTAAACATTTTCTAAGGTGTGGTTGAATAAACACCTCATTCTCTTCTTTTTCAATTACATTCCTGTTGAAAAGTTAGTTCCTCAGAATTGGAACATTGCCTTTTGGAAGAGAAATAATTAAGGGACCAGAACTAAACTAAACTTGAAAAGGCTCAGAAAGATTCTGAAACATACGGAATTCACAAGGGTCCTCCCGAACTTCATATGAGTAATAACAAAAGCTGAGAAGACCCTCCAGTTAACCAAGCTACACAATATGCAGGGATGCAGGTTTCCTTTATCTTCACCCACACTGACATTGGTTTTTGGGGGTGCACCAAATTTTGTGTCACCCATGTTCCCATAAGTATCTCTTAATACATTGGGATGGCTAATGTCACATTGACGGCTAACTATGTGTTTAAAAGTTGAAAATTTCTGTGATTAAGATAACTAGATATCGGGGTTGGGGTTTAGCTCTGTGGTAGAGCGCTTGCCTAGCTCTGGAAAAAAAGATAACTAAATATCAAAATTGAATTTGCAAATGTTAAAATCTACTTAGCAATTATTTTTGTCATTGCCTGGTATTATATAAATTTAATAATTCTTTTTCTATTTCTGCAAATAAAAGCTTTCTTTGTACCAGATGACATTCTGTTTGTACAAAGACAGAATGTTTACTTTAGGACATTGGCATTTAACAATTACCTGACTGAGGTGTTTAGGAACTGCTTGGTGTCTTGGATTCCTAGTATAGTGTGGTCTCTAGTATAGTAAAAATTATCTGACAAAGTTGTGGTCTGGAATTTGGAGCTCAGGAGAGAGGGTGCAGTTGGGAGCTGTTGGGTCATCTTTAGGGAATCTTAGCTGGCAGTGAGTAGTGTCTTACCCTGGGTCCCTAGATGCAGCCTTGCCTTGTGTAAGAGGAAGATTTGTTCTGAAGTTGTGGGCTAAAATAAAACATAGGAAAAATAAATAAATCTCATAAATAATGCCAAAAAAGCTAATAGAAAAAAGGCAGGTGAAAGAATCTCGTCAAGACATGAAAATGGAAATAGAAGCAGTAAAGAAATCATAAAAGGAAGGACTTTGGAAATAGAAAATATGAGTAAGTGAACAGGAACTACAGATGCAAACATCACCAACAGAATATATGAGATAGTAGAGAGAATCACAAGCATAGAAGATATATTGGAGGGAAGAGATGAATTGGTCAAACAAAATGTTAATTCTAAAACATTCTGAACAGAAATCATCCAGGAAATCTGGGACATTATGAAAAAGCCAAATCTATGAATAAGAGGAATATAAGAAAAAGAAGAACCCCAGCTCAAATGGGCAGAAAATATATTCAACAAAATCATAGAAGAAAATTTTCTCAACCTAAAGACAAAATGCCTATGAGGAACAAGGAGCTTACAGAACACCAAATAGATAGGAAAAGAAAAAAAAGTTTCCACACTATATAATAATCAAAACACAAAATATACAGTAAAAAGACAGATAATTAAAAGCTGCAAAGGAAAAAAAGCCAAGTAACATATATAAAGACAGAACTGTTAGAATGACACATGACTTCTTAATAGAGACTTTAGAAGCCAGAAGGGCCTAGATTGGTGTTTTATAGACGGTAAGAGAACAGAGATGCAAGCACAGAATATGATACCCAGCAAAAATTTCAATCACCACAAATGGATGGAACAAGACATTTCATTTCAAAGTCAAATGTAAACAATATCTATGCCCAAATACAGGCCTAGAGAAGGTACAAGCAGGAAAATTCTAACCCAGGGAGTTTAATTATATCCATGAAAACACAAGAAATAAATAAACACATACAAGCAAATCCCAGAGATTTGAACACACACACACACACACACACACACACACACACACACACACACACACACTACCAACAACAACATAATAATAGGAATTAACAAGCAGTGGTCCTTAATATCTCTCAGTAGCAATGGAACTCCATTTCCCAATAAAAAGACACAAACTAGCAGAATGAATATGGAAACGCAATCCATCCCTTTGCTGCATGCAAGGAACATACCTCAACACTAAACATAGACAATGTCTAAGAGGAAAAGGATGAAAAAGTGTTTCCAAGCAAATGGACCTAAGAAGCAAACTGATGTAGGTATTCTAATGTCCAACAAAATAGACTTCTTCACAAAATTAATCAAAAGGGATAGGGAAGGATATTTCAAACTCATTAAAGGAAAAACCCATTGAGAAGACATAGCAATTCCTCACATCTATGCCCCAGACACAGGGGCATCTACATTTGTAAAAGAAACATACCGAAAGCTCACACGTTGAACCTCACACATTAATTATGGGAGACTTCAATACCCCACTACCCCTGATGAAAAGGTCATCAGGACAAAACAAAAAGAGACATTATAGTGCTAACAGGCTTTATGAATCAAATTGGTCTAACAGATATCTACAGAACATTTCACCCAAACACAAAAGAATATACCTTCTTCCCATCAAATCTTTCCAAAATTAACCTTATAGTGAGTCACAAAGCAACTCCCAACAGATACAG